TTTTTTATTGGGGGGGGCGGACAGAGAGAATCCTATGCAAGGCTCCATGTCCAGTGCAGAGCCCAACTTGGGGCTCAGTCTCACAACCCTGAGATCATGACCTCAGTGGAAATCAAGTCAGATGCTCAACCAACTGAGCTACCCAGGTGCCCCTGTTCAACAGTTTAAATGTGATAAATTCCATTTCCTTCACTGAGAAGTCCTTCTGGAAATTAGCCCTTTACTACACCTTTTTATGTTTAGGTGTAACAGTAGACACTAATTAGTTCCATGTAGGAAAGCCATCCCCTTATTTAATAAAATGGAGCACTATGTATCTTTTACTTAGTCTAGAAAATTACGATGCTTTCTCATATTATAGCAAGGCTTTAAAAATATCCTCCAAAAGTGTCTGAAGATGCTAGAAAAGGTAAAATAAGAAAGCTCTGCTCTGATACTTTTAATGTTGTGTGACAGTGCCTCCTTGTTTATTGCAATCTGGCATATATTACAGTTTTAAGGCCAGGTTAAGGGGCATATAGTTCTTATAAAATGGATAAGGGGTTTAATAAAAAGATACCTGCCAAGAAACTTCAGATTGAAGAGACCAGTAATAATTGCAAACTAGTAAGTTTGTTTTAAAAATAATCATTTAATGAAAGGAATAAACAAAATATCCTGAAAAGGTGGTGCAGTTGTAATAATGGCCTTCCCCATTTGAATCTGTGTTCCTTTTGAGGTATCTTTTTGGTGTGTCTATAATTTAACAGGATCAAACAACTTGGGTTGTAAACATTCCTTTGTAGTATTTAATTTTATATATCCATCCTTGTGTGATTTGTTTTTTTAAAAATTTTATTTTAGAAACAGAGGGGGGGAGCAGGGGTAGAGGGAGAGACTCTCAAGGAGGGTCCCGGCCCTGAGGATTATGACCTGAGGCAAAATCAAGAGTCTGATGTTGAACTAAGCCACCCAGCCTATTGTCTTTTCTAGAAGTGTTCATAAATTTATAGACTACAATGTGTCTATAATTTTATAAATATTTGTATTAGGGATGGGTGTTCTAATTTGTGTTGAATGGGTGCATGTTTGTAAATGACCAAGTAAATGTTAATTGTCCCTTTTGCATTCTAGAATTTACATAGTACATGATGAAGTTAAGGATAAAGCTTTTGAATTAGAGCTCAGCTGGGTTGGTGAAAGTAAGTTATTTTTGTACATTTATTTGCTCTGAGTCATCTGTACCAAACCTAATTTAAAATTGGGGCCTATTTTTCCCTTTTTTTTAAAATTTTAATTTGGTAATGACATACATATAGAAAAAAGTACACAAATAACATGAATTGATGAATAATCATAACATGGATAGAGTCTTGTAACCACTGTCCTCTCTCTGGTCAACAAATAGGCCAGTTTCCCAGATCACCCATTGGGCCTCTTTGAATTTATAGTTCTCTACCTTCTCCCTAAAGGTAACCACTACCTTGAATTCTAACTCATAGGTAGTTTTGCCTGTTGTTCAATTTTATATAAGTGAATTACAGTGTATATCTTTTTATCCCTTATTTTACTTCATCGTTTGTGTTGTGTACAGTATTCGTTTGTCTTGCTGTATTCTGTTGTCCAAATATATCGCAGTTTATTCATTTCTTCTTTTGCTGCTGGTTAGTTGGGCTCTTTCCAGTGGGTTTTTTTTAACTATAATGAATAGTGCAGCTGTGGATATCTTGTGTAATAATTTTGGTATACGTATGTAGCATTTCTGTTCCAAGGGCAGAACTGCTGAGTAATGGAAATATGCGTAAGTTCAAGTGCAATGGGTAGTGCCAAAGTGTGTTCTACCACTCAGTGCTTTCTAATACAAAGAAAGCCAGAACAAACTTACAAAGTGGTATTTTTGAAGGGGGGAAGTTCTGCCTAATTGACTAATGTTGTGAATGGTTTACTTTTTTCAAGGATTCATTTACTGAAAAATCACTTTTTTTTCCCTTACAACGGTAACCATGGATGGGATTTCAAGGCTAGCTTTTTAAAAATTAATCATGCTGCACAATAAATGCTCAGAATTTATCATAGCATCAGGATAAATCATTGTATAATTTGTTTTCATAAGAGCTAAGTTTGGACAGATTTAATCTTACGTGGCGAAAACAAGACAAGTTCGGAGCATCTGGTATTACTCATGGTACAACTTTTAACATTAGATGGATTATATCTATGGATTGGGTAGAATTTATTGTATTGGAAATCACAACGTAGTCCTCATTTCTAATTCATTTGAATATATGGCTTAATTTGCAGTAACTAAAGGAAGACATGAAATTGTTCCTAAAGATATAAGGGAAGAGGCAGAGAAATATGCTAAGGTAAGCTGCAGCATGTGAAAACTCTAGCTAAAGGTATGAAAGTAAGTGCTGAATAATAAAGGAACTCGGTTGATTTCTATTAAATAACACTTAAGAGTTGAACTGAACTAAGGTTAGAAATTTTCTAGGTTATACTCTGTGGGGATAGGGTTGCCCTGGTTCCAAAAACTTTGTATGTGAAAATGGTTAAGGGTTTTCCAGGACATTTAATGCTTTCATACTGTGTGTTCTATTAAGAATATAGTCAGTCGATTGTTAGAACAAGATACACTTAATTAGGGGTGCCTGGGTGGCTCAATCGGTTGAGTGTCTGCCTTCGGCTCAGCTTGTGATCTCAGGGTCCTGGGATCCAGCCCCACATCAGGCTCCCTGCTCCGTGGGAACCCTGCTTCTCCCTCTCCCACTCCCCCCGCTTGTGTTCCCTCTCTTGCTGTCTCTCTGTCAAATAAAAAAAAAAAAGATACACTTAATTATCCTTTTCTTTGCTTGGGTATGTTATTCTAAGTCAGTTCATCTTCAGTTATAAAGAATTTTCAGTGTGTTTAATTAGATTCAGTATTAAAATTGATTAACATAATAAAATTAAAAAATTAAATATATTTTAAAAATTGATTTTAAATACTATCTTTCTCTTAACAGGAATCGCTGAAGGAAGAAGATGAATCAGATGATGATAATATGTAACATTTACTTCAGCATCAATTTTAAAATTTCTAATACAGTCCCGTGTAATTCTTTAGCCCTGTGGATTATTATCTACTCAATGACCAATTTGCATTATTAAATTTTTGTCTTGTAACGATTGAAGTTGGTGGGAATAACGGTATATATTTACTTGGCATTAAAATGAAGGTTTATGCTTATTGAAAAATTCCTTAAGATACTGCAAAAAGAAGCTTTGGATCATTAATTCAGAGCTCCATTCATCACTCAACTAGAATCTAAAGATCATTTATCACTGGGTTTTGTGCAGTTAAGTCCCTGCCAACTCAGTAGGTATTACTTGATGCCATCACCGAGTTTTGTATTTAGTCAAATGATGGTTGGTCATCAGCCATTGTTAACTTTTGTTTTCCTTTCCCCTCCCCCCGCCATCCACCATTGTTAACTTTTAAGTGTGACACACAAGAACGATGTTTAAGGTTGGAGAGTGAAGAATTTTTTCCCCCTTTCATTGTGGTGAGGAGTGGATTTAAGGACCTATTCTGTCACTTAAAAAATTTCTTGATCTGTAAAGTTCAATTAAAATACCCATAATTTATGCTAAACAAGAAGTTAGAATATAATCAGTATTGAGGCCTACAAGAACTGTCATAACCTGTACTGTAGTACTCAAGGAAGAAACCATTTGTAACTCAGGCCAAGTATGCCAGGTATACCACCACTTTCACTCCAACTGTTGCTTTCCTAAGGTAATCTACTCATTGAGTTTGGCAGCAGGATACTCCTGGACTTTGAACATCTGTGAAGTTCAAATAGCAAATCATTATACATGAATAGCTAACTACTATACAAACAACTCAAAAGTATTACCTCATTTTCATGGCTTTTATGTAAAATTACATGCTACATTTTACAACTTACATATTTAAAAATGATAAACACCTAAATATTAAATTGGGTCTATCTATACACCTGATCAATAAGCTGACTATCCCTAAGCTCCCTAAGCCAATCTAATGGCCATTCTATACATTTCCAAAGAATGAAGGGCACAAATATTCTACTGTGCTGTGAGTCTGTTTTTATTTTATTTTTTTTGTTTTTAAAATTCACAACAGTATAGGGGCACCTGGCTGGCTCAGATGGTAGAGCATGTGACTCTTGATCTCAGGGTTGTGAGTTCAAACCCCAAGCTGGGCAGAGCTTACTTAAAAAAAAAAATCACAATGGTATAGCTAATAGCCCTTTAAAAGAATAGACACTGATGCTAAAGAAACCTAAATTTGAACAGCTAAGCCACTAAAACTATAGATGCCCTAACATCAAATAAATCTAAAACTGTATAACCAGATACACCTGGTTCTTCAGCTATTATGAGGCAGTTGACTTTTATACATATTCTATATAGGATTGATAATCTAGGCTCAACAGTGGGGGCACTGTGACTGCACTGTAGAAATACAATTAGCCTCTGGGGGGTGAGGGGGAAAGCTGGTACATTTTACTTTGGTAAGACTACAGGGACACCTGGGTGGCTCAGTTAAACATCTGCCTTATGCTCAGGTCATGAATCAAGTCCCACATCAGGCTCCTTGCTCATTGGGGAGCCTGCTTCTCCCTCTGCCTGCTGCTCTGCCTACTTGTGCGCTCTCTCTCGCTCAGAAATAAAATCTTTAAAAAAAAAAAAAAGACTACAAATTCATTTTCAGAAAAGATACAATACCGGGGCACCTGCGTGGCTCAGTCGGTTAAGCATCTGCTTTCAGCTCAGGTCATGATCTTGGGGTCCTGGGATCAAGCCCTGTATCTAGCTCACTTTGAACAGGGACCCTGCTTCTCCCTTCCTGCTTGTGCTCTCTCTCACTATCCTCTATAAATCTTAAAAAAAAAAAAAAAAAAAATTTCCAGTACCTTATTACTGTAAACCTTCTTGGTATTGGTACCTAAAAAGAGAAAACATGTTTTAAAGAACAAAGTTTTGGTTCAGAGATTACAAATAATAAAAATATATTTAGAATATTAAAGCACTTATCTGATAAGCCTATCCATTTGCTTCTATTTCCATCATTCATAAAGGGACCTGAAAAATAAATGACAGAAATCAAGCTGTAGGTCAATATGTTTTACACTTCAAATTAAGATTAAGAATTAACATTTTCTTCTCATTTTGTAAAAACACCCACTTATCCAGATGCTATTAAGAAACTAGAGAAAATCCACAAATGAAAACCAAATCTTAATGTAGAACACTCAGATATTTCTTATTGAATTCCTGACCTTTGGAAATGGAACCCAGACTTGATCTCTCTTTTTACTTTCCCGTGCTCTACCATTACCCATATTGTATTTGCAATGCCTAGATTATGATGTGGTTTTTCCTAAGAACTTGTACCACCTGCCAAAGAAAGCTTTTTAAAATGATTGTCAGATTTCTCCCTCAGTCCTTTATGTGTTTCCCATAAAAGTTGTCAAACTATTTTCTTTCTAAAAAGGGAACTCCAAAACATGAAGTGTGTATGAGTGCAGCTATTCTTAATCCCAACCAAGTAAAGCCTTTGTTCTATCACTGTCATGTGTATGCATGTTATGGTGTTCACTGTAATAAATTAAGAGTACCCCCCGCCCCACCCATGGAAGTTGTGTGAGAAATATCTTTGTATCTCCACTGGGTGTGAGCAGCTACAGGCATTCACATGCTTAAAGGTACAAATTTTTAAAAAATGAAAGTTAACTAGAAGGTAAGGCATACTATTTAAAAACACAGAGGGGAGCTTAGGCGGCTGAGTTAAGCAACAACTCTTGATTTCAGCTCAGGTCATGATCCTCTGGGTCTTGAGATTAAGTCCTGCACTGGGCTCCCTGCTGAGGGTGGAGCTTGTTTAAGATCCTCTTTCTCCCTCTGCCCCCCTCTCTCTCAAACACTGGGTCACAACTGTATTCATTGTGGGCTTCTAACGATGAACATGGTTTATGATTTGGGACAGCTCTGGAAATCCCAAATTCAGAAAATATATAAACTCTGGGGGATTGGTTTTTTTTAATAGAAGCACTATTGTAATAGTTTTCTTAATAAAAGAAGGGCTTCTCTGCTGCCACTAATCACAACAGCTTTAGAATAAGAAAATTAACATCCTAATTAAAACCAGGATAGCAGTTTAAAGCCCATGTCAGTTTCAAACGAGCTTTGTCATATAATAGTGTCACCTTGGGTAAGTTAATTTCCTCATCTATAGAGTAAGGATTATGTACCATTTAAAATGGCATCAAAAACAGGAATACTTAGGTAGAAATTTAAATTTGTGTAAGACCTCATGTTGAAAATTACAAAATACTGGTGATAACAACAATGAACTACATAAACTTATTAGAAGACTCAGTATTGTCAATTCTCCCTAACCTGATCTCTAGATACGATGTAAAACCCAGTTTGCAAGAGGCTCTTTTTTGGGGGGGTGGGAGGGAAAGTAGGAAATCAACAAGCTGTTTCTAAATTTATACAGGAAAAGGAATTAGAATAGCCCAAACAATTTTGAATAAGAAGACAAGGCCCACACCACCTGGTCTGAACACTTACTATAAAGTTCATGTAATAGACATTAATGGAACAGAGGAAGTCTAAAAAGAGACTCACAAAAATGATCAATTAACAAAAGTGAAAAGGTCAATCAATGTAGAAGGATAGTGCTTTTTCACAAATGGTGCCGGGACAACTGGACATCCACATGCAAAAACAAACACCAAAAACCAAATCATAAGTTGTACCAAATACCTAAGTCAAACTAATCATACACCAACATGTACGTGAACTAGAACTTTCTAGGAAGAAAACAGAAGATCTCTGAGACTGGTTTAAAAAAGGGTTCTCAGATACCAAACCAAAAACATGATACATAAATAATAATTTCAACAAAACTGAAAGCTGCTGCTCTCCTAAAAACAATGAAAAAAACAAAGACAAACTATAAGGGGAAAACATCTGCAAATCACCTGACACAAGACGTGTCCAGAATGTATAAAGAACTCTCAAAATTCCAATAAGAAAACTTAACAACCCAAAAATGGGCAAATGTTGGGGCACCTGGGTGGCTCAAAGTGTCTCACTCTTGATTTCCGCTCAGGTCATGATCTTGCGATTGTGAGATTGAGCCCTCTGTGGGCTCCAGCGCTTAAGATTCTCCCTCTCCCTCTTAAAACAAAATAATAAAAATGGACAAATATTTGAACAGACAATTCAAATAAAACTAAGTATCTTCTTAAACTACACCACCCCTTTCAAGAGGTAACCACCATATTTCTATGTATCCTCCATAAACACTCAACTCTCTTATTTTTTTTTTTTTTTAAAGATTTTACTTATTTATTTTACAGAGAGTGAGAGCACAAGCCGGGGGAGCAGTAAAAGCAGAGGGAGAAGCAGGCTCCTGATGCGGGGCTCATTCCCAGGATCCTGGGATCATGACCTGAGCCGAAGGCAGATGCTTAACCATCTGAGCCACCCAGGCGCCCCAAACACCCAAGTCTTTTTAAAAGTAAAAGCCGGTATACTGTGGTTAATACATAAATGTTGTTGAAGAGCAAGTGTCCTTACACATCTTGAGTTTGTGTCTGAAGTGTATGATTTGAACTTTGATTTTCATTACATGGAAACACAATTTTAGGAAGATTCATTTATAAATAGGGAGTTCAACTAATAATCCATATGGGAAAGGGAATTACTAAAAACTTTTAACCAGGAAAAGCCAACAAGGCTTCAAGACCAATGTATGCTAAGAGGATTCTTAAGACATCACCAAGAACAGGCGCTTGGATGGCTCAGTCGGCTAAGTGTCCCACTCTTGGTCTCAGCTCAGGTCATGATCTCATGGTCGTGGAGTGGAGCCCCAGGGCTCTGTGCTCAGGGCATAGAGTCTGCTTCAGATTCTTTCTCCCTCTCCAACAAATAAAATCTTAAAAAAAAAAAAAGCATCAAGGAAATACTAATAATTTAGAGAAAGTGAAATGGTATACAAGAACTGGAGGTATAAAGACAATAGCCTATCACCTTTAGTAGACTGGCTGGTTTGAGTCAGTAGCAACCAAGTGGTAACAAGATTGAATACAAACATTTGGATGCCTATAATGTATTATATTGCCAGGAAGGATTAAATATAAACAAGTTAAATGAGATACATTCTTTACCCAGTGGGGAAAACATTTAAAAATCATTAGCAAGGTACAGGTTTCCCCTGCCATCCAGAAAAGCAGAAGTAGAAGGTTCCTATGAAACCTTTCATAAGCCAAAATGGCATAAAGTGAAGAAATTACAATTTATATTGAAAAACTTTTGAGCATTCCCAAACCCCCAAAATAACCTTTCTTAATCCTTTCTGATACTTTAGCATGCATCTTGCTAAAAGATGCACAAAATATATGGAGATAAAAGGCAGAAGCTCACAGACACATTCAAAGGTATGGCAGCTTGATGCTGAGTGTAGTTGTCAGGGAAGGAGCCTTGCACTGCCACTCTCCCTGTCAGGGTACATGCTAACAGCTTGCTGCAAAACACACTGAACAATTTTTGCTTTTTGCCTTTTTTTGGTAAAAGTGAAAATCTTCTTCAGGCTTCTTCTGGTAGCACTAACAAGTACCAATGTAGGTCTTTTGGTAAAAAAGAAGTACGGGGCACCTGGGTGGCTCAACTGGTTAAGGGTCTGCCCTTGGCTCAGGTCATGATACCAGGGTCCTGAGACCAGTGCAGGGAGCCCAATTCTCCCTCTCCCAGCCCCTCAGCTCGGGCTCAATAAGCTCTTAAAAAAAAAAAAAGTGGCATGATATGAACTTTTGTGGGGTTTGTTTTTTAAAGATTTTATTTTTGGGGGCACCTGCATGGCTCATTCGTTAAGTGTCTGCACCTTCTGCTCAGGTCATGATCCCAGGGTCCTGGGATCAAGCCCTGCATCGGGCTCCCTGCTCAGCGGGAAGCCTGCTTCTCCCTCTCCCACTCCCCCTGCTTGTGTTCCCTCTCCTGCTGTGTCTGTCAAATAAATAAATAAAGTCTTTAAAAAAGAAAAAAAAAAAGATTTTATTTTTAAGTAATCTCTACACCCAATGTGGGGCTCGAACTTACAACCGTGAGATCAAGAGATGCATGTTCTACCAACTGAGACAGGCAGGTGCCCCATGTGTGCATGGTTTTAGTATGAATACATGTGTGTAATACACACACACACACTGAACTTCCATTATGTACTTTGGGAAGGGGGAGGAAGATAAATTCTGATAAACAAGGAAGGGAATCTAGGACAGTTTCCTAGAGATCTGGTGGATGAGATCTCCAATCAGTGAATTTAGGAGAAAAACTATAGATGTCAGTAATTAGCAGAAAAAAAGTTCTGAGATGCGAATAATTGAAACAAAGTAAAAAGGCTAATCTACATAAGACTATGAGGAAGAGAATCTAGATGATGGGGAATGCATAACGGTTTTTCCATCCGATTCAAAGAACTAAGAATTCTCCACAGATCTGAATTTACAGGGTCTGAAGTGAGGCCCAGGATTTGGATTTTGAACAAATATCTGGTGTGATGCGCTTGTGAATACACTAAAATTTGAGAATCACTGATTTGGATTTAGTAAAAGGAGAACATAACAGAGACAGTTAAAGGGTTTCAAGAGATGAGATTTCTGTTATAAAGCAAAATGGAGAATGAAGCTGTAGGGCATGATGGTTATTGATGAAAATGTTTTTTCCCTGAATTTTAAAGAAACACAGGTCTTAGAAATAGGAACACATACCTAGACAATGAAAAGGGAAGTTTCTGGCAGAAACTTTATAGTAGATGGTTTCAAATATCTCATGATTCGGTATCAGTCTCCTGAACATTTCCAACATGAGGGTGGACAAAATGCATAAATGCACAGGGATTAAACAGCATCTTTCTTATTGTACTGACAGGTCAAGAAAGAGAAACAAAGCTCTGACTTAAGGAAGATCAAGTCAATTTGGTCAAACAACAATTGTATAGAACTTGGTTCCACACTGCAAAAGAACCTTAATATAAGATTCCCCTACCAGCAATATATGAGGGGATTCCGGTTTAC